TTCCAGGATACTTATTTTGATTCTTTGAATAGCATGTGTTTATTTTTTCGTTTTTTTCTCATTTCGCTTCGTATCTTCGATATCAACGATACTGGTGTTGTGTTAAAAAAGAAAAAATCGAGGAAACGGCGGAACCGCGAAACTCATCCGCCTTTCTCTCTTCCTTCTCCGGTTTTTCACTGTCTATCATCTTTTTCTTCCCTTGCCTTTGTATAGCACATTATTGATGATGTGAGTTATGGATGTGAACTTTAGATTCTTGACAAAGATTTTGTTATAAGTCAAACTCTGATGCCACCATTTTTCGCCTAAAATCTTTTCGATGATGAAGCAAAACAGAGGTAAATGTTCTAATTTGGTCCTTGTTGAATAATGCCTTAAATTGAATTTGAAAAATTGGCCGAAGTTGGAGAAATTTCCGAGCTTTTTCTTCTTTTTCGAGAAGTCCCGAACGCCTACTATGTCTTTTTGCGAGGTAGCCCTGGTATTATATGTGTACATTTCATTATTTTTGCGATTATTATTTGCACCCTTTTTGTGCTTACTCAAATTTCGCTTTAAATCTTTTCGAAATCAAGCAGTTGCGGTCGAAGGCGCGCAGTAAAAGCTGCGAATTGTTGTTATTTGGTGTTTCTTTTTTTTTAACGATGATAAATAAGTTAACGACGACTCGGTGAATGAAAAAGATAACGCATGGCGAGTGTCAGCAAACTGCAGCATATCTACTTTTATACGCCGGCTCGGCTTGACCGTTACTCTGGCTTCTCTGCCAACGCTATTTCGCGGCGCCGCTCGCCATCAGTGCTTGGCACTTTGCTGGGAGCGCTGGGTAGCGCCACCCGGCGCTCAACGGCTGGACCATGTGATTCGGAGGGTGATGAGTGGAAGGATTAGCGTGGTTAGAGGGTAGTGATGAGTGGACGCTCAGACGGCAATTTGGAGACAGGATTTGGGGGAGGAAGACAGAGAAGGGGGACAAAGGACTAGTCAGGAGTTCGGGGCAAGAACTGGAGGCAGACAAAGAAAACCTGAATTTACGAAAGAAATTAGGGATAAAGCTAATGGAAACTAAAGCAAGTAAAAACAGAGGAAGCAGAAAGAAAAAATAATAATTGGCCAGCGCACGAGCTGCCCGTGCGAAGATGCGTTTTTTGCGTAGTTCCCCGCAGATTTTAATCGCCAACGGCTCTGGTTTTTCTGGCAGATGCTTCTAGCTAAAAGAATTTCAGACTGGCCGCCAGGATTGTCAGGAAG